ATTTTATTGGTATTAAATTAAAAAAATTTATATATATATATATATATATATTTAATTTTTTCATTGTAATTTTTTGATTTGATCAATAATTTTTTATTTTTTTTTATTTTAAACTTCGGTCAACAACGCAAACATAAAAAAATTAAAAAATATTATTTAGAGTGAAATATCAAGGACATTTTTAAAATTATGAGAATAATAATGGTTGTTTTTTATTGAAAATAAAGATATTATGATAAGTCATATTATTAGCTATGAAAATTTCAATACAATGGCGATGTCTATCATTATTGACATACAATTATAATTAATCTCAATGAAGATATGAAATTTATTGAATTGTTAGTTACATTTGACATTTGGGGTTCATCCTCTATATGTTTCTTTACTATTGATTGGTAATATCATATGTCAATGATGACGTGATATTACTATTATATTGAATTTTTACTAAACTTTTTATAAAAAATTACTTTATTATTATATAATTTATTTTAAAACTTATATCCATGATTTTTTTTATATTGTCCATGATATACTAGTTACAAATAATATATATATATATATATATATTTATCTTTCTTGAAGTCAATCATAAAAATTTATGTGAAATATTTTTGTAAAAATTTTCAATGTTATAATTAATAAGTGCCCCCTTTGATTTAATTTCTTGGCTTCACCACTGCATGTATGCCATGAGATAGGATTGAAACAACTGCATATTTATACAAGTGAAGATGTTACTATAAATTCTTTCTTTTTTCTTTTAAGAAGGAAGAAAATTTTTTTACATTTCCACTCTGAAAAAGGGTGTTGGCAAAATGGGTACTTTCATGGTTTACTTGGGCATCGACTTCGGTACTATTTGTGTCCCATGTTTATGTTCACAGCCAGTGCTTCAGTACTAACTGATATAAACATGTCTGAGCAGTTATTGAAGTATCCGAGGAACCTCCAGTTGACGATTTTTAAGGGGACATCAATGTTAGAAAAGAAGGTACAGCAGATAGCAGATTAGCGACGCGCGGTTAAAGGTGGAGGAATTAGGGATTATTTTTTTCATTCTTGGTTGCTTATGTAATATTGTTGCTATTTTCTTTGGTTAGCATGCTAGTGATCTGATTGAGAATTGTTTTTGTTTTCATGTATGAATAGGAGGGGAGGTGTGTCACAAAGTAGCCATGCATGCTAACCTTTTAACATGCATGCATGATGTTGGTTCTTTCTTTTCTTAATTCTTTTATCTCTGCATTTTGTCTTCGTGTATGCGAACAGTTTGAGATGAAAAACATACTCTTTTAGAGTGTGCATTGCAGGAAGATATTTTTGTTAGGGCGAATTTCAAAGAAGGGGAGAGTAGAAAAAAATAATTTCAAAGTGATGAAGGTACAAGATAGACTTGCACAATCTAATGCATAAAAATCACTTGTACTTCCATCACTTTGAAATTATTTTTCTACTCCATTTTTTTATTTTATACTCCCGTTTTGTTACAGTATGTACGTGGACATAGAACAATGAAACTCTTTTGGCTGTGTTTGAATTTTGGATTTATGGAAGTAATTGCTCAGTTCTCTCTCCCCTCCACCCCTCCACAAACTACAGTTTGCTAATATGTTTTGCTTAGTTTGGCTGTTCTAGGTTTAGTTTGGTAGACAAACAAACCTGTCAACTAGATCTGTTTTTAGGGTAGGATTGTCAATGTCAAGGGAATGGTTGTAGAGCAAAGATGCATTGAATATTAAAACTCTAGCGGCAGGCCATTGGCTGTCACATGGAGAAATTGTGTGTGGAGCTGAGCGAGGCAACGCCGTTCCGAAAATTGTAAGGACTAGTGATTCGTTGCTTCTTGTGTATGACAGTGAGACCTAGTAGTATGAATTCAAAATTGTTTTTGTTCAATGAATTGGGGTCGGATATATGCCACAGTAACAGTGAATCGAAATTTGCCTATCATATGGTCTTTGTTGAGAAGAGATTTTTGTTATGGCTTTGTTTGGATTGAAAACAAAATTTTCACAGTTTGGTCTAAGCTTTGTATGGTGAGTACAACGCAGAACCTTTCAGCATCTAGAACTTGCTAAAAATATGTGGTATCGGGTGATAATCAGCCCAATAATATTATTAATTGAAAATTAGAAATGTCATGTACATAAGGGGGGGGGGGGGGGGGAATAAAAGTTTTCAAAATTTAATTGTATGATAATTTTGTTTTATTGCGTTGGTTTGGGATATAAAATCATGTGATTAGACTATGTATCTAGTCAATTCTTAATTCCATTTTTGGATATAAAAATGGGTCTTTAAAAACATTTATATTGATGTATTATTTTTTATCCTTTCATTTTCAGTTGAAAAACCAACTAGCTCATGGGTGGAACTGAATCAATAAATTTTGAATCCATAATTGATTTTACTATGTTGTTTGTTTGATATCCTATATTCTTTGTATATTGGACAAATATATAAACATAAGGAGTGTACCAACAAAAAGAAGAAATAAAAAATCACTTATATAGAATATGATTTTGGAGATTTATATCAATTCATTTTAAACTATAAGACCTAGCTTATTATTTTAAAAATGTCATGCAAATTTGTATCAGTGATTTTAAACCAAAAGACCTAACTTATTATTTTAAAAATGTCATTATCATATATTGATGCATTTTATCTATGTCAACGACATTTTTAAAATAGTAAATCAGTTTAATATTGGTCTCTCTTTTTTTTTTTCTTTTTTTTCTTTTTTTCTTTTGAAATGAACGAATTCAAATCTATGACATTATTTTGTACAAATTTTTATTTGCATATCAAAATTTTTCTTTTATTTTTATTTTTATGAAACCAATTCTTGGCCATACTCTCTCATGCTTGTCCATCCTTTTGGTATTTTAATGGTTCTTCATAAGTTCATATTTCATATTGCAACTTCTTTTAATTTGACAAAATTAAAAGACTTGTATTGATCATAAAACACTAAATAATTAGGGGTTAATTAGTCAAACTAACCAAGGTCTAACTCACATGAACCAGTTAGTCACACAAATCTTATGTGCTCATAATAAGGTTTAAATTTTTTATAACTATACACTACAAGAAAATACACTTTTGGCGATCACTTTTGCCGACAAAAAATATTTTGGTCGCCAAAAGTTGTGGAATTGGCGACCAAAAATTGTATTAGTCGGCAAAAGTATAATATTTAGCTACTATATTTTTTTGGTCAGGGTATATTGATTATTGGTGACTAAAAAAAAATTTAGTCGCTAAAAATACCACAATTGGCGACTAAAAAAAATTTAGTTGCTAAATTTGCCATAATTGGCGACTAAAAAAATATTTTAGTCGTTGTATAGTTAGTTTTGGCTATTAAAATTGTTTAGTCGCTGAATGAAAAACAAAAATTAACTTTTTATTTTTGGCGACCAAAAGCATGGTCCCCAAATATTTATTTTCAGTGACTAAAAAATATTTGCCGCTGTATAGTTAGTTTTAGCTACTAAAATTATTTAGTCGCCGAATGAAAAACAAAAATTTACTTTTTTATCTTTTTGTCATCAAAAAATTATTTTTTAGTCGCTGTATAGTTAGTTTTGGCTTCTAAAATTATTTAGTCACCGAATGAAAAATAAAAAATTACTTTTTATCTTTGGTGACCAAAAGTTTGGTCGCCAAAAATTTATTTTCAGCGATTAAAAAATAT